TACCCAGCATCTCTCTCCTCACCAAGATGATTGTTAAAATTGTACTGCAGCTTCCTCAGGCTTCTCCCCTTCCCAGCTGCTCCTCTCACGGTAAGCTGGAAAACATTTAATAGCAAAGATCTAAACTGTGGGGATGGGTTTAAATGGCAAAGGAATTTCCATCAGGACCTGCACATCAGTCAAGATTAGTGGGGATACTACATCCTCAGACAAATGCACAGATATGTTCTCAGTTGCTACCCTAGCACCCAGTTAAACCAGTTCATCCTATTCACTGTCTGACCTAGGCCATTACTATCTGCCGTGTTGTCCAATAATTTCCCTTCCAGAATTTGCTCCAAAATCAGCATCAGTGGCAATTGAGTCAGCCTAGGGGGGTTCACTTAGATGAGAATTTTTTTCAGTAATCAAGCATAATTTGAAGTGCATTAGTCCAATGTAATAATCCATCTAGTAAACTATTAACTTGACTAATGCACTTAAAGATCTTATTATTGCCTGTTCATCTAAGATGCCCCTTTTTGCACCATGATAATGAGTGTGACTTCACACCTTTTCCTTGTAGCTAGAGAAAGCATAATCACTTTGTACCTCAAACCCTCAATGAGACCTGCACACACTAATGAAGGGGTATACAGACTCCCGCTCCATATCCAAACAGATGCTGAAGGCATTATAGAACTTCAAGGTCTTTACATTTGAAAGGAAGTGCTACCCATGAGGACATCAAGAGTCATCTGGCAGGTCGGGATGCAGCTGTTTAACAAGGTGTCAAATGTCCTCCCAGCCGTTCAGTTGGTATGACAGCCTCAGGAAGGGTTTTATGCTACGCAGGCAGCAGTTGTGCTTTGTCATTATAGCAAAGACAAAAGAATGAGTCACTTTTACAATGCCTTCTAGAAAGAACTGTTTACCCCTCCACTCTAAATATGTTTATGTTTTCTTCCAGTGGATTGTACCCAATATACATAAATCAATGAAGCCCATAAATGTAAGCAAATCACATGGTTATTTTCTTGCACCAAATTCTGACTCATTCAGACCAGTGCCAGAGATAACATTCATCTATTTTGTTTTATTTCTGCAGGAAATAGAGTCTACCCTGCTCACTGAATACATCTTAAAACTAGCGGTGAGGTCACTCCGCATGCTTTTTCACTCAGGGGTTAACCCAAGGAGCGTCTATTAGACATTTCCCTTTGGCATAGGAAACAAAGGAGATTTGGGAATGCAAGGGGTCCAGTCAATGTGTTCCCTTTAGGGTTTTACACTGCCTGCCCATCCCTAGGGCCTCTGGGTGCCTTCCATGTAAAATCAATAATAATAGCAAAGTGCCTAGTGGACTTCCTGGAATCACTGACATTTCTTACTCTTCAGGGTCACAACTTTATTTGGGGCATGGTAGGTTTTGTATTGGTCTGGGCAGAGGTTATTGGGTAGAAGAAGGTGTTAGTGTTGGAGGTTATTGGATGCAAGGTGTCACTATTGTGTCAGTATTATGGGGAATGAATTTTCCAGTTTTGCAGCATTTCTTGAAGACCATCAGATTCTGGATTGGTCCAGTCTCCTCTAGGCACTTCTTCCATAGACAGATCCCCTCCGTTGAGAAAGCTTTGTCCTTTCTTCTCTTGTGCTTCATTCAGGACTCCGTGATCTGCAATGTCCCAGAGGACCACAGCTGTCATCATGCAAAGATCAAAATGCAATCTTTGAAATAGCGAGGGCTTGTTCCATTAATTGCTTTGAAAATAAAGAGCAGGGCCTTACATCGGCAGCGGAAGCTAACTGGGTGCCATTGGAGAGACTTGTGCACTAGCCTGATATGCTCACAGCAGCCTAAGCCATGCAGAAGGAGGGCAGATTCTGTTTCAGATACTGTACCATGAATTACAGTCATCTGCCCTGGAGGTGACCTGCATGAATTGGTGCTGGTAGGTTCTCATCTGGGAGGAGGGGATAAAATATCCTATAGTGACCTGGAGCGAAAACCCTAGTGTTAAGTTTAGGGATGTAAAAATATATGTAAAAATATTAACTGTGCAACAGACAACACTTCTATCAGTTGCATGGTTAGCTGCGGGATGCCGGCTGTCAGTTATAGCTTTTCCTCCATCAGTTACCTTCCTCACTAAGGTGTGGGAAAGACCTCCACACTCTGGGGGGAGCCCTAAACCTTCTTCTGCTTTCCCCTGTTTTACTCTGTGCCCATTCAGAGCTGTCTTCTGTTCTCTTCTGAGGGCTGCCAGCAGTCCCCATGCTTCTGGGCAAGGAGGCCTAGTCTCCATTCCCTTTGGATCCATTCATACCAGGAGAGGTTGTTTGACTGTGATGAAAAGGTCCTTTCTCCAGGAGCTGTGTGCTCTGCCTTCATAGCACTGAGTGCAGTTGGTTTCTATGCCAATGTATTGGTATCAACATCTTTGTAGTAGCTTCCAATGGATTTAGTGCTTATGGCAGCCTGTACGTCTTGGAGACTGGCATACTTAGTGTGTCCAGTTGAACTGATGTTGCAGGAGAAGGATCAGACTCTGGTTCACTTTTAGCTGGGTTGCTTCTGCAGAGCTGTGTCCCTGAAGTCAGCTGTTATGATGTATGCGAGGTAGTTAATTCACCTCTCCCCTTCCTTGGCTTTGCACCAGCAAACTCCACTCGTTTTAGTACAGTCACTGAAATGAAAGTAGCATGCATGACAGTTACATGCATGAAAGTAAGCACAAAATCAGGGTCACAAAACAGCTCTGTTTGAGTAAATCCACTTTGACATGATCACTTTTCCAAGTAGCATTGTTGTTTTCTCATGATCTTAAACTGCCATCCTGTTCCATTGGATTATATCTCATCTTGAACTAAACTGAGAACAGAAAAACTATTAGGTAGTATCCTCTACTTCAGTGTTCCTCACAGTGGGCCATGGGGAAAGCTGCTAGCGGGCCCGCTGGTTTGTTTACCCAAAGGGTACATAGCCTCAGAGCCTTGCGGCTCCCATTGGCTCCAGTTCACCATTTACAGCCAAAGGGAACCATGGGAAGCAGAAAATTGCAAAGCTCCTTTCTGAATTCCTAGGAGACAAACAGGACAAAAACCAGACAAATTCAACTTCAGCTTATATGTGTGTCAGCAAGGATGGCTTGGTGACCTAAGTAGCTTGAGTCCCTGAAATCTTGAGGTTTGAAGCCCAAAATATCCAGTGCCACTCTTTACTCTTTCACTGTACCATGGACACATTGGGTGCGTCTAGACTGGCAAGATTTTGCGCAAAAACTTGCTAGCTGTCTATACTGGCCGCTTGAATTTGCGCAAGAGCACTGACGTTCTAATGTAAGAATTCAGTGCTTTTTGCACAAATACTTGGACACTCACGCTCAGGGATAACCCTGCTTGCGCAGGAGGGCCAGTGTAGACAGGCACCTTAATTTTTTGCGCAAGAAAGCCTGATGGCTAAAATGGCCATCGGAGCTTTCTTGTGCAAAAGCACGTCTATACTGGGCACAGATGCTTTTGCATAAAAGCATCCGTTCCAATCTAGACGCTCTTTCGCGGAAATACTTTTAACGGAAAAACTTTTCCGTTAAATTATTTCCGCAAAATCATGCCAGTGTAGACGCAGCCATTGAGTTTTATGCAGTTTCCCATGTGCAGCTCTTTCAGTGAAACCTCGGAAGCCAAGATTTTGTCCCTCCTGAATGGAGTTGAAAGATCTCAAGTCACTTTTGGAAAGTCTAGTGATTTGTCCCTGTGTCCTTGGCCTAAAGATCCTCTCCCACCACCCTTATGCAGAACGCTGCATCTCCGTCATCTGCCGTTCTGCCTAAGAGCCAGCACGCCAGTGGAATTGGCTGTCAGTATCATTCTGTAGCTTTTAAAGCACTGTGGGATCCCTCAATATGAAGAGGACAATGGAAATGTAAGGCCTGGTCTCCACTCTGATTTTGTACCAGGATCATTATTTTGTATGGGATGTAATTTTGTTTTAAACTGAAATATATTTTTCTGGTCAAACCCTTTGTGTAGCTGCAAGTATAGCTGTAGAGAGGTATACTGTAGAATAGTATACGTATTCTGGTATGGCTAATTTCCCTTTCTGTCTACAGCAAAATGCATACCAGCAAGCCCCCAGTGTGACTGCCGTGTACGCTGACAAAAGGGATTTTTATGCTGGTGTAGAAACACCACCTTCCAGGAGGACATTAGCTGTGCCAACAGGAGCACTGTAATATGGTCCCACTCACTGCCATGATGCTTCCTGCTGGACGTCCTGGGATTTAGTTCATTCCAGCACTGGAGTGCCCTCCTACGGCAGTGTCTCGCCTGCGATTACCTTCCTCTTTGGCTTCTACCATGCCAGGACCCGCATCCTTCCCTAGGCTGCAGCGCCTCTGAATTGGCCACTCTAATCATCGGCTGGGGGTGGACTTTGCTGCCTTTTTCTTGCCTGCTTTCCCTTATCTAGCTCTAGTACCCCCTAGGCCCTTTTGTCAGGGCCTGAGCCTGCTCATTGGTCAGACTAGGGCCATGCTGACTCCCTGACCTCTCCCACCACTGCTCTGTCTGTGGCACCAGCCCCTTTTAGGCAGTCAGTCCATTTGCCCCAAGGAGAGACTAAGCTCTCTTTGCCCAGCAGTCCTTCTTATAGGGCCCAGCCTGACCCTGATTGGCTGCCTTCAGCCTCCCTCTGATTGGCTTCTGCCACTGCCCTCTCCAAGGGCAGCTTTAACACCTTGTTTTCCAGTGTGGGGCAGTCATGATTTTATAGACTTCAATCATATCCCCCTTTAGGCTCCTTTCTAAGCTGAAAAGTCAGTGTCATTAATCTCTCCTCATCCAGAAGCCGTTCCATACCTCTAATCATTTTTGTTGCCCTTTTATGAAGCTTTTCCAATTCCAGTACAGGCAGTCCCCGGGTTACGTACAAGATAGGGACTGTAGGTTTGTTCTTAAGTTGAATCTGTATGTAAGTCGGAACTGGCGTCCAGATTCAGCCGCTGCTGAAACTGATCAGTCTGGACACCAGTTCCGACTTACATACAGATTCAACTTAAGAACAAACCTACAGTCCCTATCTTGTACGTAACCCAGGGACTGCCTGTATAACAAAACTGAAGGTAGTTGCTTAAAAAAAACCCAGAGGTGATAACTGTATCACCTTCGATACTACAAAGTCTAGAAGTGGGGGGGGTTTGAATCACAGTGGATCTTTTCAATAAAGTGTCTCAATAAGTTTTGGGTTCCCAAAACCCTCCCCCCCCCCCCAGTACAG